TATTTTTGTTAAATGTTTTTGTCAATTTATTACTATTTTAGTGACCAAAATATCACCCACTTCTCCAAAATGACAGACATGACGTTCACTTGACCTGTGGTAATTAGCAGGCTACCATTGCCATCTACAATAGCAATCAGAATGAGAAAAGATATTTTTCTTGATTTTTGGTGAATATTATGGCCAAATTTGGACTGTTCATCATTAAAGTTAAGATAAACTTTATTTGTACCACACTGGGGAAATTTGCAGTGTACAGCAGCAAAATTGGGGGGTAACAAAGTGTTTCATTGCACAAAATAAATGTTTCAGAAAAGAACTGTACACAGTTCAATATAAGTGCAATATATATATATAAAAAATACAATAATAAAATAAAATGGATCAGAGTCCTCCAAAATGACAGATATGACGACAATTTGAGCTGTACTAATTAGTGGGCTACCTTTGCCATCAACTACAACAATCAAGTCAAGTACAACTTTATTGTCAAATCAGAATGAGAAAACGTGTCAATGATTTTTGGAAAATATTTGTCAATTTATGACAACTTTGGTGACATAAATGGCTCTGAGTTCTCCAAAGTGACACATATGAAGTTATTCTAATTTGTATTCATTAGTGGGCTACCACTGTTATCAATTACAGCAACTAGAATGAGTAATTGTGTTTTTATTGAGTTTGGTGTATATTTTTGTTAATTTGTAACTACGTTTGTCCGTGAAATGCCTCCTACCAAAATGACAGACATGATGACAGATTGACACTTTGAACTGTAGTAATTTGTGTGCTACAGTTGCCATGTACTACAACAATCAGAATGCGGAAAATATATTGTAATCAGTGGCGAACCCTCAAGGCCAGCAAGGCCTTCTCTGCTGGCCTAAACATTTACTTTTCTGAGAATAACATTAATTTATGTTATTTTATTTTCATAAATATGTAAACAAAATTATTCTCTGTATTCTTTACGTCATATTATTTCCACTTAGTCGAGTGGCTTTCAAATGTTGTTTTAAATAACATTGAAAGCCACTTGATAAATAACCATTTATTATTGTAGAGGTTTTAACCACTCATATTTCAGCTAGCTTGTGTTGCCAGGTGAATTAAACTTGCTCGGGGCCTTCAGATTAAACAGAGCAGGCCCCTGTGCGCTGTAAATGAACGGGCACAGTCAGGTTTCAATAGCCAATCAGC